GCAGGTAGTAGTAGTCAACCGATTGTCCCGCGAGACATCGCGCGAAAGCACGCAGAACAGCTTCGCGCCACCAGTAGTAACCAGCTCTCCAGGGTGTAGACCGAAGGCTCTCTGTGACAGTCAGGCGACACCCGCGGCGTAGAGCTCCTGTCCGGCATTAATTAGGCATGACGGGGGGGGGGGGGGGGGCGGTTTCCTTACTACTGACTCTTGGATTTTTCAATTGTATGTATGAAAAGAGAGAGAGAGAGGATTTAGGATTACGTAGGTTTGGGGAGCGGGCGCGAGTGGGAGACTTTTCGGCGGGCGAAATGCGGCGGTGTGGTTGCGTCCTCTTTTACTTTTTGCACTTTGGGACGACCTTTGTGGGACTGGGTCGACCTGTGGGACGACCTGTCTGTGGCGGCGCGTCGTCGCCGGACGCGGCGGCGCGAGGCACACGGGCGCCGGCGTGGCGCGTCGGCAGGCCCACCACGAGCGGATGCGCGACGAGCGCGCTCGGGAAAAGCGGCCGCGGGCGACGGCCGACGCGGAGCTTCCGCCGGAGAGGACGACGCGGTCGAGACGGCGAGCGCCGTCCACGTGCTGGACAGCGTGGCGGAGGTGGGCCCGAACTACACCCTGGAGTCGCGAAAATCTTATTCGAACCCAGCCCTCGACGCATTCGTGGAAGTACTCAACCGTGTGAGTGAGTATTCTTGATACGAAACCACACACCAGTCGACTCGCATCGGTTGCCTCCATGAACGGCGGAGCTATTCTCGCGCCCACACCACACCTGGCTCCAACGTGGACACGCCCATAGCTGGGGACACTACTAGGTCACGCATGGCATCACAGAAGTTTTATCTCTGGGCCCCGAAAGGCATCTTTAGCAGCGTCGTTACGCATGCCCCCTCCCCTCCTGGGCGCATGCGCCTCACGTCTCGCCAGAGCATAAGCCCTTGGCGTGTGGCGAGACGAGTTTTTCGCCATCGCCGCGAGCAGCAAGCCGCCCGCCGCAAACAGCCGGAGGCCTCGCCGCGGCACTGGCTGCGCCGCGGTCCCGCACCCGTCGACGCAGCACACACACAGTACTCAACCCCTTACGCACTCTTCACACAGGTGCTCTCACTGAAGGTTCACGGGGCCGACTACAGTGTGTCGGGTCGGGGCTGCTCACCACAGTTAGCACGCGTTCCGGCCGCTCTTGCCGCTCTGGCATCGTGGTGATGGTGTGGTCGTGCCAAGTGTGCACCTTCGAGAACGTTCACGACGAATATCTCGCGTGCGAGGTCTGCACGAGCGAGCGCGACGCGGCTCGTGGCAGCGCTGCTGACCAGGATCCTCAATGGCGTGTCCGACTCCACACGTCCTCCGCCACGCACCTCCCAGCTCCGCCCGAGGCCAAGCGGCCCAGACTCGCGCCGAGTGCTGAGTCCGCACCGGTCGGCGGACCCGCGCCTGCCGCTCCCGCTCCCGCGCCCGCTGCTCCCGCTCCCGCGCGAAGCATTGCCAACGTGCTGCGCCCAAAGAGGAGCTCCGACTTCGCCGGCTCCGTCACAGTCAAGGTCGGAGCCGAGGCGCCGCGCCGCGTGGCCGATGCGTCGCTCCACCAGTATGCGCCGGCTGCGTTCGCGCGCGACTTCCTGCCGGCAAGGGAGGCGCATGCCTTGCTGCGGCTGCTGCACGCCGACGGCGCCTCTTGGCGGCGGCACCCGTGGTTCATCTTCAACCAGTGGCGGGAGACGCCGCGGTGCAGCAAGGGCTTTCGGATGGAGGCCTCGGCCGCTCCGTCGCGTATCTGCGGAGAGCAGGGCGACGGCGAGGCGAGGCACGGGTCCATCTACGCTCCGGCGGACGCGTCGGCGGACGCGTCGCCAGACCTGCTCGCCGCGCTCCGCAGCGCGTCAGCCCGGCTCGCGGAGCACGTCGCGCAGATCCGGCCCGGGCGAGCCGCGCCGTGGCTCCCGACGCTCGCGCTGGGCAACCGGTACGCCGACCACCAGGACTCGGTCGGCGCGCACTCGGACTACCTCGGCGAGCTCGGCCCGAGACCGATCATCGTCGGCCTCGCGCTCGGAGCCTGCCGCGACTTTGTGCTCGCGAGCCGCGCCGCCGACCCGCCCACGACGGTGCGGATCCCGATGCCGCACAACAGCATCGTTGTCATGTGGGGCGAGTGTCAGGAGCGGTGGGACCACGCCGTCCCCGCGTGCGGCGAGGGCGCCGTCCTGCGGCACGCGCTCGTCGGGCCGGTGCGCTACTCGCTCACCTTCCGCATGAGCCGCGCCGCCGAGATCTCGCGGCCAAAGTGCCGCTGCGACAAGCCCGCCGAGCTCAAGTGGCGCGGCACGGGCTATCGGTGGTGCTGCGCCGGCCACGCGCCTCGCGGCGACGAGCACACCAGGCCCGACGCGCCTCCGCCGAGACACCCCTGCGGCTTTTCCGCCGAAAGCCCGTGGGCAACCGCGGAGGCGGCGCGGCTCGCCGCTGCGGAGCCCGAGTATGCGCGGGTCGTCCAGCCGACATGATATGTATATTCATTGTCATATACTTTTCTTCGCGTCCCCTTGTGTGCCCCGTGGTGAGGTGTGGTGCCTCAGGGTGGATCATCGCTACCTCGCGGATCGGTGTTGACACCCCATCTAGCCCACGGAGAATGGACGCTGTCCGACACAATGAAGGAGTCCGACGTTATCACAGAGTCCGAGGGATGCGCGTCGTGTGGTTCGACGCCCAGGGCATCAAGCTTGACGTAGAAGTCCGTGATGCGGACAGAGTCGGTAGGGTGGACGTCGTGGGGCTGGACGCCGTAGTGGGGCTGGACGCCGTAGTGGGGCTGGACGCCGTAAGTTGGCGGCCACCAATTATGCGGCTGGCTGCCGAAATTTGGCATTCGTCCGATCGTCGGCGGTTGGCCAAAGGTCGGCTGGCTTGTCACGGCTCCGCCGACCGCGACGATAGCGAGCGACGCCAGAGTCCAGAGCTTGCAAGCCGACCGCCGCCAGTACGCCAACTCTTTGTTCTCGACAGGCAATACGGGCTCGATGGCGGTCAGCTGTACGGGCTCGATTGTGGTCAGCATCGCCGCCGAGCAAGCAAGGGGCAAGGCAACGCGGCCGAAAAGAAATCGCACTTCTGTGTGGTGGCGGCGTGCCGTCCTCCCATCCCTCCCTTGGGTTGTCTGTTTTCTTTCTTTCTTTTTGTCCACGGACCCCATACCCGAAAGAAAGAGAGGGGGGGTCGCGGGAGAGGTGACGAGTGAACTACAGGTAGTGGGGAAGGCAGCCTCGATTGCCATACAGACATGGGTGCGAAACAACGACAAGACCAAGGCACAGGCAGAGGAGCGAGAGAAGAATATAGGGTGGATGAAGCGCCTGTTCACGGCATGGAGGGTGAGCCACGCCGAACGTACCGAGCGTAGAGCCGAGCGGAAGGAAGCCGGGGAAGATGACTCCGAGGAGGACGAACCAGTGGAAATCCCGTTGTCAGCTGTCACGTCTCACGATGCACCCGATGGAAGGGGACCCCAGCGCCGGCATCATCCGTGGAGGCACAAGGCATGGCGCATGCAACGCGCAGCAATGCTCGCCTCGCCTCGCGCAAATGCGACCGTCCTCGCAGCCGACAGTCCACCGCCTGCTACAGAAGCACTGCGACGAATGCGGCACCGGCGACGCATGGCAGGCTGGTCATGACGCAGTTATAGGGTGTTGTGTGCCGTCAGAGTGACTCTCTGTGTGTCAGGGATAGTCAGGGCCGTCCATTAGAGCTCCAGTAAGCTCGGAGACACCCCATTAGCGCGGCTTGACCTCTTTGAGTCACTGCCTTCCCGCGGTTTTGCTGTAGAGCCTCTACAACAAACTCTACTAGAGAACACAACCCCCTCTCTCTTTTCTCCCAGTAAGCTAAAAGTACGTACGTACAACAAAATCGCGCTCTACATCGCTCTACAACGCAGGCGCTTCGTCCCGCGGCGGATGTAGAGCTCTAGAGCTCTACAGCGCTCTACAGCTCTACAGCTCTACAGCGCTCTACACTCTACATCCTCTACACCCTCCCTCAGCCTCAACCTCTCATAGATAGACCAACGCAAAAAGCGCCATAGAACGTATTGTCTTGTCGATAACAAGGTCTGTGTGCGCCATAGAGGTATTTTCTTCTCAATAACAAGGCGTCTCCCAGTGAGACGATGGAGAGGGGGGGACGATACTGCTCGATCTACCCCCCGGGGTTCCTCACTCAGCAGCAGCGTGCACCTCGATCCTGTACCGTGTTTGTTATGACCGCCCCAATGAGCACACCAGCGAGGGAGGGCGAGACGATCGAGGGGTCCCGTACCATGCGGAATCGACCCTATCCAGTCAGTGCTCAAGTGCGCACAAGGCTGTGTTTTACCTCAACAAGTGAAGCTGTGGAACAAGGCTGTGAATGAGGTTGCCTGGCGGGCGAGGGCGGGCGAGGCTCGAGCTAGTCCTCCCGTCCTCGCAGGAGTCGCTTAGGCGGCTCCGCACGCTTGTCGCACCCCGTGCGGATGTCGCAGTGCCCTCGCGACAACCGGTGCGATAAGCCAAAGGGGCACGCGGGGTGGTGCCGCACGCAGGGCGGTGCGCGCTCCGGAGCTGCGCGGCGGAGCAGCGGCGCGGCGGCGGCCGATCGCATCGCGCGCATGGCTGCCCTCGGAGCCCAGCGCGGCATGACCAAGGCGGAGAGGCGCCAGCAGCGAGTGGAGGAGGAATGGGGCGGCTCGGACGATGAGGAGCGGCAGCTCGAGAGCGGCAGCGAAGAGTTTCCTGATTTTGAGGAGGAGGGCGAGGGCGAGGAGGAGGCGACGGCCGGCCGCCGCCGCGCGCGGAAGAGCAGAGCGGCGCCTGCAGAGCGGCGGCGCACGGCTGCCAAGCGGGCTCGCGAGGGGGGAGTCGAGGCCGACTCGTCTGAGAGCGGAGGAGCGAGCGCCGGGAGTGGAGCGGCTGGCGAGGGCGGCGGCAAGGCGGCGGGCTTTGGCGGCCACCCCGACAGCGCGTTGGAGGCGGTGCGGCTTCCGCGCGCGCGGCTCGAGATGTGGCAGGTCGAGCCCGTCTTCGAGACGAAGAGGCGGCGATTACGGACGGAGTAGTTCCGATCTGCTCGCTACTCCTCACAGGTCGAGCCCTTCTTCGAGTCGATGGCGAAGGGATGCCTGGTGCGGATCGGCATCGAGCACGACGGCTCGAAGCTCTACCGCGCCGCACTCGTCGCCGGCGCAGCGCGAGGGTCGCGGGCGGAGTCAACTCGGCGACACCTCGGCCGCATCTCGGTGCGTCTCGGCTCAGGCGTCGCGCAGGGCTGCGAGCCGTACAGCCTTGCCGGCCGCAAGTGCTGCAAGAAGCTGCAGCTCGACTTTGGGGAGGCGCGCGAGGGATCCGAGATGAGGCGAGAGTGCCGAGATTGCAGCTCGACTTTGGGGAGGTGCGCGCGAGATCTCCCCAGAGCCGCCGACCCCCAAAGCCTCTCCTTGATGGCCAACCCTCAAAGCCCCTCCTGGAGGCAGAGGCAGCGCGAGCCGCCCTCGACGCTCGTGGGGGAGGCGCGCGCGCGCGCACTGCTAGGCGACGCTGCCCTACCCGATGACCGTCGTCTCCAACGGCGAGCTCTCGAGTCGAGCGGCGCGCACTTGAGCCCTCGACGCGACCTTTCGCGGCGCCTTCCTGCAGGCGAGTTCGAGGCCGTCGAGCTGCGCGCCTTTGAGCAGGTGCTCGAGGCGCGCGGCCGCTCGCCCTTCTCGGGAGCGCGGCTGGCGGAGAAGGCGGCCGAGCTGCGCCGCGCGGTCGCCGGCGAGCGAAAGTCCTACTCTGAGGCGGAGGTGACGCGGATGGTCAACCAAAACAGCCAAAACAAAGCTGCCGGCGCGGCGCCCCAGCTCACCGCGAGGCAGAAGCTGGCGCAGCGGGCGGGCGTGGGGAGCGGTCATGTTGCGGTGGCGCGGCCGATGCAGATGCAGTACGACCGCTTCGGGCGCGCGATCGTGCAGGAGCAGCAGGGGAGCTGAGAGGGTGCTGCTGCTGCGCGCCGGCCAGCTCGGCCTCCTGGACGACAGAGGCAGCAGGGGTCGCCGGCCGGGAGTCTGCTGAAAGCTGGCTGGCTTACGATTTTCCCACGCGCAACGAGCGCGCTTTCGCGGGTGCGTTGCGTCAGGACGGAGTGTAGAGAGGTCTTTCACGGAGGGGGGGGGGGCGGAGCGGAGTCACACGCCCGTCAACACGTCACAAAAACGTGTGTGTAGCGTGTAGCGGTGTAGGAATAAAAATACGTTCTGCAAGAGTGTTGTCAAGAAAGTCCGGGCCAATCCGTCATCCGCTAGAGGCGCTACGATGTACGAACACAGGCCTCGAATTATATAAGTAAAGCCGTACCGTAGGAGGAGGCTGCGCTGCACAAGCACGGGCGGGAGGCCGCAGGGGCTTCTCCTGCGGAGTCGTGCGACCGTGCGCAGGCTCCTCACTTTGTGCTTTCTTCTACTCCCTACTATCATCTCGTTCCCGTCTCCTACCAGAGAAGTACCGTGTGTATAGCCGCGTGAGCCGAGCCGTACGTCGAAAAAACGAAATATCTCTAGTTGAACAGCCAGGCTCGGACTGGACACCAGCCAGCGAGGTATGGGTGAGAACGCAAGACAGTGACGGCACGCTGGAGCGACACACAGACACACAAACTCACAAGACACTCGAATGGGAGAGTCGTGTTCGTTTCGATCCATTTTTCGGTCTTCCCCACTCACGGCGGCGCTTTCTCGCCTCTTGCTGTTCACAGAAAAACACAACCCCGGTCCAACAAGCGACGCTCTTCACAGAATCACCCCACCACCAAGCGACCCTCTTGCTATTCACCGCCCACTCGCCATGCCACGCTCCAAGAAGGGGTCCGCAGTGCCGCGCGGGGCAGCACCACCGCAGAGCGCCGGCCGGAGCAGCAGCTCGCAGAGCCGAAACCTCAAGCCGTCAGCGGGCACGGTCGGCGGCGCCGCCGCAAAGAGAAAGACTCCCTACCGACTTGAGATCCTACAGCTGGAGCCGTGCGCGCTTCGAAAGCGTGGCGGCGATGACGATGACTACTTCAAGGGCGGACAGGCGTGCTGTAGTAGCACAAGGGTGGCAGCCTGCTTGGCACGGTGCCCGGTACCCGACGCCCAACGTACCGCACCTGCCGCCCGACCACAGCGCACGGCCGCGCCCCGTTTTTGCAGGTGTGCGCGCTTCTGGCACTCCCCGACCACGCCCTCGTCGTGGCGGGTGGCTGCACCGTCAGCGCGTACGACATGCGCTCGCTCGAGGCCCTGCAAGATGGGCCGGTGGATCTGCTGGCCAGCCTTGTTCGTTGCCCGGTCTGCGAGCGGCTGCTCGATCCGCCGTGCAGCAAGCCGAACGAGCCTGACGTCAAGGAGAACGCGGTTCTCACGCTGGAGCGGAAGGGCGCGGTCCTGCGCATCTCATCCATTCAATGAATATTGTTCCTGAGGTACATCTCTCGTTTGTGTCAGGCGAGCCCGGCTTTTGGACGCCGCGGCTCGTTTGCCCCTCGTGCCTCCTCTCTCTCGTCAACGAGCAGCCGGTCCCGTGGTCAAGTCTTTCGGCCCTCCCCGAGCAGCGCCTGCTCCCACCTCTCGAAGACACCCCCTTCGACATCGATGAAATATCGCGCGTGCTGGGCCTCGGGGCCTGCCTCGGCTCTGCTGCTGTGTCCGCTCCCCTAACCGACCTCCTCGGAGCGTGGTTCGCCACGGGGCTCCACGATTCGCTGGCGCTCACTATGGACACTCCGCCGCCCGTGACCAAGGCAGTGAAGGCGTGCGCAAATCCAAGTTGCTCGACGGGAGTCTTCGCCGGGCTCCAGTGCTCCCGCTGCAAGGCCGTCAGCTACTGCAGCAAGGATTGCCAGGCACTGCATTGGAAGGCGCACAAGAAGTCGTGCAAGTGCTCCGCGAAGCTGTGAGCAAAGCCATCGTGCCTTGTGTGGCAGACCGTGTAAAGCCGTAATACGGGGGTCGGCCGGGGACACAGGGGAGCGGGAGTCATCGGCTCGAGGGCTCGAGAGCTCTCCGTCGGCCAGGAAGCAGGATCCGATGTGAGGGGAAATATGTGTAAATCTCGCGCACATCGCGGAGGTGCAGCGCACGCAGCGCGCGATTTGAATATGTTTGTGAGCGCGAGGAGACGAAGAAGAGTCCGAAGAGAGAGCTCAGAGCTGAGGCCTGAGCACGTGGAGCTGACGTGAGACAGCGAGAGCTCACACTCTCCTCACATGCGAGACTGGTGTTCTCCTCCGCGCTGCAAGAGGGGCGTGAAATCCTGCTCCCTTCCTCCCTTGCTCGTGCCTTGTACACACAACATGCTCCACAGAAAACACAAAGAGGCCACGTGCACCTATAAATATAAGGAGGCCCGGCCGGCCTTGAGGGAGTCGCGGAGGAGGAGGGATAACGGAGGCAACGCAGGGACGGGCCAACAGCCGTGGGACGAAAACGAGGGCCGCGACGGCGGCTCGGCGGCTCAAGCGGGAGGGAGCGGAGACGGTGGGCAGCGAGCGAAGTGGTGAGACTGATGATGCTCCTTCGACTTAGGGAGCGGTTCAGCTGCTGGGCGGGCTTCAGGGTGGTGCTTACGCGAAAAGGAATCGACGCGTCGCGATGTGCAAAGAGCATACAAGAAGAGGAGAAAGAAGAGGAGAGACGCCGGTGATGACGAAACAGAAACTATCGCAGACGAGAGCAGGGCAGACCCGGGGACGGCGGAGTCGGAGCAGACGGCATCGGCCGCCGAGAGGGAACGTTGGGAAGAGGCACAAGGAGGGCGGCGACCTCAACCGACTATGCGGAGGACCCGCCGCCAGACGACGCAGGGCAGACGACGGTGAGGCGGAGCAGTCGCGCAGGGCGAGACGAGGGAGGGAGCAGGACGTTGCGGAGATCAGCAGGAGGATGTACGAAGAGATTAGGAGCAGCAGGGACCCGAGGGGCTCGCCGAGGCGCGAGGGACCATGTGGAAGACGGCTAGTGCTAGTCCCCCATCGCGCATCGGGAGGACGACCCCGGCTTGCGGCTAGTCGCCGACCACACCCACAAAGAACCCTGCACAACGATCGCACGGGCGGGGACCTGTTCCTTGTCACCCATCTCCTAGTAGAGGTGTCCGTTTTTATTTATTTTATTGGAAATATATCAAGTCACCTCACCTTTCGCGGTGTGCCACATGGGTAAACAGCGAGAGGTTGTAGCCGAAGCGGCCGGCGAGCGACGCCACCTCCGCCGCCAAAGCAGCGTCCGCCCGCCGAAGCGAGTCGAGCGTCACCTCCAGCCGGCGCGAGCCTCCTCGCCCGTTTCTCACGTTGACTGTGCCGTGCGTCTGCCCATGGCCGCCGCCGCCGCGGCGTGTTCGCGCCTCGTCCTGGCCGCCGCACCGCACGCGCAACGCCGCGGCGGTAGAGAGCGGCAACGTACCCCCACCTTCTGCTAGCCTCGCCTCTCCAGCTCGCTCGCCTTCTGCTCTCGGCGCTGAGTCTGCGGCGGCCACGGCGGGCGTGGCAGAGGCGGAGGCGGCGGAGGCGGCCGAGTCGAGGACTCCGGCCAAGCGGAGCACGTCGCACGCCGACGTGGCCTCGACGCGGTACACGCGAGGGGGCGGGCGCAGCGAGAGCATCCGCGCATTGTACTGCACCCAGAACCATCCGATCCGCCGGGAGCACTCGCCCGCCGCCGCCTCCTCGGCCTCGGCCGTCGCCTTTGCGTGGCGTCGCCTCCGACGACCGCCGCAGGCACGCAGAGACGCCCTCCGGCCCGGAGGCCGCCTGCACGCCGTCTCGTTGCCGCGGGCCGCCTCTCGGGAGCGCGGCGCGGCGGGAGGCGGGAAGAGCAGCGCGGCGGTGTCAAGCATCAGCGAGGCGTCCGCTGCGGCGGCCGTGTCTTGGCCGTGGCAATAGGCGGCGAGCATCGACGCGATGGTGTGCAGAGGGTGGCGCACTTGCAGCAGGGTGGCGCGGAAGGGAGAGGTGCAGCGCGGACTGCCGCCGCCGCCGCCTCGCGCGCAGCCGATCTCGCGCCGCAGAACCCGCTCGCACTCTGCCTGCCAGCACGGGCCCCACGGAGTGCCACGGACAGCACACGAGAGGCCGTTCCCCCACGCGCCGCCGTCAATCCTCCATGGTCCGAGCGAGTTTGGCCGAGGCCGCGCGCACAGCGCACCCACCAGCGACGCCCTCTCGCTGCCGTCGCCGATCTCCGAGAAGCGGAGGGCGCCGTGGATCCACGAGACGGTGCCGTCGCGGCACACCGTGCCGATCGAGTCGGAGTTCTCGTGCGCCACCTGGAGGCCGAGCTCGCGCAAGGCTTTCGTCATCTGGGTGGTGCCGGAGGACGGCGTTCCCACCACGAGCAGCGCGCGCTCCGCCGAGAGTGGCAGCGCCGGCCTGCCCGAGAGCGAGGAGACGGCGAGGCATTCGAACGGCTGCGACGCACACCAGCGTGCGTACCGGATCGGCTCAGGGAGCCAGTACAGCAGCAGGACGAGGAGGGTGCCCAGGAGGCACGTCAGGCTGAGGCGAGGAGACCGTTCAGTCTGTGCGTGCATTTACCAGCAGCCTGTGAGAAAAAGAATTCTTGGGTGCAAGCCTCTCTGAGTTATGTGTACGCCAACTCAGGGTGTGTGGCAGCCAGCTGGCTGTGTGTCTTGTGAGCCTTTTGTGTCTGTGTGTCGCTCGTGCGTGTTATCATACTGTGTCGACCATCCATACGTATTCGAGCTCTGTACCCCTCGCGCGCGGGACCTGTTCCCTTTTACCCATCTCTCCGTAGCGTTTTCCGTAGCTATTTGCTCGCACACGGCCGCGCACTGAACCGAATTCCCGCACCGACCAGTTCGTCGTGGCCTCTCGTGCCTCGCCGCCCCTAACACCATGGATGCCATGGCTCCTCTCGCATAGCAACCCATAACATGTTATGGGCTGCTATGAGAGAGCCGTCCCGGATCCACGGTGTTATGGCCCGAGACGCAAGCGAGGCCACACCGAACTGCTCGCCGCTGGAATTTCGTTTCGCGCGCTGCCGCGCGCGAGTAAATAAAAACGGACACCTCTACTGTGAGATGGGTAAAAAGGAACAGGTCCCGCGCGCGAGGTTCGGTCGGCATCGATCGCCAAATATTTTCTCTTTTGCCCTCAAGTTAAATTCAATAACACGCGCTCAGCGGAGCCGCCACTTCCAACGTGCCGAACAGGGGCGCGTTCTGCTGCTTGCTCGGAATCTCGACGACGGCTAGCCACATGTCCGAGCCGAGGTCGGATGGCCGGGCACACCAAACGGACATGACGCTCTGAAACATTTTCGGCGTGTTGACAAACACGTCGCCGACTCGTCCTTCGATCCCTCGGGAAACGCGTAGATTTGCAGGCCGTTTGACGCGTTGATGGCCCACGCCTCTCGGATGTCAGAGCACACAGCGAGTTGTCCGTGTGCTCGTCCTCCGCCGACACATAGTTGAAGCCGGGAACCCTCTTGAAGTCGGAGACGCGCAGGTCACGCAGGTCAACCGACGAGGGCTTCTGGCTCTTGAACATCTTCATCCGGTAGGCCATGGTTGGCGGGCGCTCCGAAAGAAGAATTTTACAATTTCCGAAAGAAGAATCTTACCCGTGCCCAGTGTTGTGCGAAAGAAGAATTTACCGGCGAACGCCGGGATACGCGCGGCGGGGCTCCAAAAGAAAAATCCGTGGGACACATAACAGCTGTTATGAGGTTGTTATGCTGGCTGTCATAACAACCAGTGGGATGTGTTATGAGATGTTATGAGGTGTTATGAGGTGTTATGAGGTGTCATGGTAGGGTGGGCATAACAGCCATAACAGCGATGGATGTGTTATGAGGTGTTATGAGGTGTGTTATGAGGTGTTATGAGCAGCCAGCCATAACAGCCATAACACCTGTTATGGCCGCTCCCATAACCTTGACTGGGGTCAAGCGTTTCGCGTCACGAAACCGGGGCTCCCAAAGAACGTCCTGAAGGCGGCTACGCTGAATGACCCCCGGGACTCGCGCGTGGCGACCACCTTGCGGACTCGCTGGGGAGGGTCAGATCATGCACTGTGAGGTGTGCGTGGGCGTTGTGGCTAGTTCCATTTCACTCTGACACGCTAATCTTGAAAACGTCGAACGGAGCTCCGTGTTGCTCCCAGCGCCCTCCCCCGCGCTTCCTGCGGCCATGGCCGATGATACTAGTATGAGAGGTCATCTGGCTACCGCGAGCGCGACTCAACTCGCCGACGTCGTCCGATGATTGTGCCTCAAAGTCAGCCTCCGGAGGCTATCGTGGGGTCGAGCCGGCAGTAGCCGTGACATGTGGTTCCACCACCCCTCGTATGCTTTGCCTCTGACCGCCACCGTTCCCAGGCTGCCAAATGGGATGGAAAGGAAGGCTCGGCGAGCGTATAGAAGCGTGCTCGACCTCGTCGTGGCAACCTGTACGGCAGCGCTGGTAGGCGCGATGAGCGTCGTGCCACCTGACCCGAGACGGGTCGCAGGCGTCGTACCGAGCGCGTCGAGACCGTGTCCTGATGTGATCTGCACGGGTGAGTCACGTCGGCGTCAAAGGAGCGACGTGCGACCTGTCAGAGCTTGATCTCCGATCTCAGCGGCGTCGAGTCGTCTCCGGCGCGCGACAAAGGTACATCCCCAGGACGCGCAGAGGCAGCTGCGATCCAGCGGAGTGGACGGTAACGCACCGCGCCACCTGCTGTGCGTTACCGTCCACTCGGCGGGGTCGCAGCTGCCTCTGGAAGGCACCCAGATGTACCTTTGTCGCGCAAATGGTCAAATCAAGGTTTTGTAACGCGAGCTGTGCCACAGTGAAATGGAACTAGCCTGTCGCTGTTCGCTTTTGAGACGGGGAGCCGGCGCGGGGAGGAGTCAGGAGAGCGGGGCCGGATAAAGTATGTATTACAGAGAGAAGCGAAACCGATCCCAGCCAACCTGCGCAGCCAACCTGCTTGCTGCTACCTGGAGATGACTGATGAGGGGAGACAGGAGAGCGAGACCCCCGCGCGACATTCGACATTGCCGCGCACGTGAGTGTGGACAGATAAGTGCTGTCCCCAATCATCTGACAGATCGCTCGAGAATATCTCTTTTCATAACTGAACTGCTCTCAGCGTTTACTATAGTGTGTTACTCTAATGTGCTATGTCGGTGTGCTCGCAAGCACGGTACAAGAGAGAGTTTCGCTCTGTGACTGTGTGTGCCGCTCGGAGCTAGTTCTAAAGTGAGTGAGGTAGAGCACCCCACACCGGTCTGGACCCGGCGCGCGGCGCGCATAGGCGCGTATCAAGAAACAGGGCGGCGCCAGCGATGTCGTCACGCGCCGATGACGCGCCCGCCCAGCATCGCATTCATCGGCTCGAACAGCATCCCCTTCCACCCGCGCTCGGTGCGCTCGCGCTCGTCCTCCGGCACGCCTGGCGGACGTGGCGTGGACGCGTCAGTGGCGTGTCAGAGGGGGGGGGGGGGTAGGGGGCTCGAGGGAGAGGAGAGGGAAGGGGTGTGGCAAAGGGCCGCCTGTCTGCTCGAGGGTGAGCTTGGTCGAGCCGTCGTCCTGCTTGACCATCGTGATGAGCACCGTCGACCAGTGGCTGCGGCGAGGAGGGGAAAGGGGAGGGGAGGGGAACGAAAGGAGGCGGGGTGTGAAAG